TCCCCACTGATGTCCCCATTGATGTCCCCACTGTCCCCAGGCTGGCCGAGGCTGCTCCTGGAGGTGTGTCCCCATTGATGTCCCCAATGTCCCCAATCCCCACTGATGTCCCCAATGTCCCCGTTGATGTCCCCAACGCTGTCCCTTGTCCCCAGGGTGGCCGAGGCTCCTCCATGTCCCCAGTGTCCCCTGACTGTCCCCAATGTCCCCAGGCTGGCCGAAGCTCCTCCTCGAGGTGTGGCACGTGGACGCGTGGGGCCGCCGCGGCCTGGCGGGCTACGGCGTGTGCGCCGTGCCCAGCGCGCCCGGCTGCCACCGCGTCACCTGTGTCACCTGGCGCCCGCGGGGCACGCGGCGCCAGCGCCTGCTGGGGACAGGGGGGCCCGAGCTGCGCGTCCCCGAGGTGGCTGTCACCGCCGGGGACAGGTTCCGCCTGCGCACCGAGAGCGCCGGCAGCGTGCGGCTGCAGCTGGGCGTGGTGACACGGGGCCTGGGGACGTTCGGGGTGGCACTGTGGCACTGGTGACACGGGGCCTGGGGACATTCGGGGTGGCACTGTGACACTGTGACACCCATGGGGACATTCGGGGTGGCACTGTGACACTGTGACACCCATGGGGACATTCGGGGTGGCACTGTGACACTGGGACAGTGTGACACGGGGCTTGGGGACATTCGGGGTGGCACTGTGACACTGGGGACACTGTGACACCCATGAGGACATTCGGGGTGGCACTGTGACACCATTGGGGACATCAATGGGGACATTGGGGGTGGCACTGTGACACCCATGGGGACATTCGGGGTGGCGCTGTGACACCATTGGGGACACCAGGGTGGCGCTGTGACACTGGGGACAGGAGTTGGGGACACTTGGGGACACGGGATGAGACTTTGGGGTCACCCTGGGGACATTCGGGGTCACCCTGGGGACACCAGGGGGGGGCAGGAGGTGGCACTTGGGGACACCGAGGAGGCAGGAGGTGGCACTGGGGACACCGGAGGGACAGGAGGTGGCACTTGGGGACACCGAGGGGACAGGAGGTGGCACTTGGGGACATCCCCAGGCTCGGCGTTTCCTGGGTGGGGCCCGCGGCGAAACGGGGCCAAAAGCGGCGAAATCGGGCAAAAAGGGACGAAAAAGGGCAAAAAGGGACAAAATCGGGCAAAAAGGGACAAAAAACGGCAAAAAAATAACCCGGGACCACCCGGGATTAAACCGGGATTAAACCGGGACCACCCGGGAAGGAGCGGGACAGGCAGCAGGCGACAACCGGGAGCACCCGGGACAAAGCGGGACTGGCCCGGGACCGGCCAGGGACAAACCGGGAGCACCCGGGACAAACCGGGACCACCCTGAGATAAAGCGGGAGCACCCGGGACAAAGCGGGACCACCCAGGACAACCGGGAAGGATCGGGACCACCCGGGACAAACCGGAACCGGTAGGGAACAACCGGGACCACCCGGGACAAACCGGGACAAACCGGGACAAACCGGGACAGTCCGGGACAAACCGGGACAGTCGGGAGCGGAACCGAGCCCGGGAGGGGAAATCCGGGCGGGTTCCGCGCGGGCTGTCCCGGGTTAAGTCAGGTCCCGGTTCCGGGGGGGATATCCCGGGTTTGGAACGGTTCCGGTGGGGGTTAGCCCGGGTTTGGGACGGTTTATAACGGTCCGGGAGTTTATCCCGGTCCCGGGGGGCGTGTCGCGTTTCTAGGGGAGTTTATCCCGGTTCTAGGGGAGTTTATCCTGATTCTAGGGGAGTTTATCCTGATTCTAGGGGAGTTATCCCGGTTTTAGGGGGGTTATCCCGGTTTTGGGGAGGTTATCCCGGTTCTGGGGGAGTTATCCCGGTTCTGAGGGGGCGTGTCCCGGTTCTGGGGGAGTTATCCCGGTTTAGGGGGGTTATCCCGGTTTTGGGGAGGTTATCCCGGTTCTGGGGGAGTTATCCCGGTTCTGAGGGGGCGTGTCCCGGTTCCAGGGGTTTGTTCCCGTTCCAGAGGAGTTTAACCCGTTCCGGGGGGGTTTCTCCCGGTCCCGGTGTCTTTAACCCCTCCCGGGAATTTCTCCCGGTCCCTCCCGGTCTCTCCCTGTCCCGGTGGGTTTAACCCATCCCCAGGGTTTATCCCGGTCCCTCCCGGAACTCCCGGTGTCCGGACCATCCCCAGGGTTTATCCCGGTCCTTCCCGAGGGTTTATCCCGGTCCCTGCCGAGGGTTTATCCTGGTCCCTCCCGGTCCTTCCCGAGGGTTTATCCCGGTCCCTCCCGAGGGTTTATCCCGGTCTCTCCCGAGGGTTTATCCCGGCCCCTGCCGAGGGTTTATCCCGGTCCTTCCCGAGGGTTTATCCCGGTCCCTGCCGAGGGATTTATCCCGGTCCCTCCCGGTCCCTCCCGAGGGTTTATCCCGAGGGTTTATCTCGGTCCCTCCCGGTGTCCCGTCCCTCCTGAGGGTTTATCTCGAGGGTTTGTCCCGGTCCCTCCCGAGGGTTTATCCCGGTCCCTGCCAGTCCCTCCCGAGGGATTTATCCCGATTCCTCCCGGTGTCCGGTCCCTTCCAAGGGGTTTATCCCGGTCCCTCCCCGTGTCCCAGTCCCTCCCGAGGGTTTATCCCGCTCCCTCCCGAGGGTTTGTCCCGGTCTCTCCCGAGGGTTTATCCCGGTCTCTCCCGAGGGTTTGTCCCGGTCTCTCCCGAGGGTTTATCCCGGTCTCTCCCGAGGGTTTATCCCGGTCTCTCCCGAGGGTTTATCCCGGTCTCTCCCGAGGGTTTATCCCGGTCTCTCCCGAGGGTTTATCCCGGTCTCTCCCGAGGGTTTGTCCCGGTCTCTCCCGAGGGTTTATCCCGGTCTCTCCCGAGGGTTTGTCCCGGTCTCTCCCGAGGGTTTATCCCGGTCTCTCCCGAGGGTTTGTCCCGGTCTCTCCCGAGGGTTTATCCCGGTCTCTCCCGAGGGTTTGTCCCGGTCTCTCCCGAGGGTTTATCCCGGTCTCTCCCGAGGGTTTGTCCCGGTCTCTCCCGAGGGTTTATCCCGGTCTCTCCCGAGGGTTTGTCCCGGTCTCTCCCGAGGGTTTATCCCGGTCTCTCCCGAGGGTTTGTCCCGGTCTCTCCCGAGGGTTTATCCCGGTCTCTCCCGAGGGTTTGTCCCGGTCTCTCCCGAGGGTTTATCCCGGTCTCTCCCGAGGGTTTGTCCCGGTCTCTCCCGAGGGTTTATCCCGGTCTCTCCCGAGGGTTTGTCCCGGTCTCTCCCGAGGGTTTATCCCGGTCTCTCCCGAGGGTTTGTCCCGGTCTCTCCCGAGGGTTTATCCCGGTCTCTCCCGAGGGTTTGTCCCGGTCTCTCCCGAGGGTTTATCCCGGTCTCTCCCGAGGGTTTGTCCCGGTCTCTCCCGAGGGTTTATCCCGGTCTCTCCCGAGGGTTTGTCCCGGTCTCTCCCGAGGGTTTATCCCGGTCTCTCCCGAGGGTTTGTCCCGGTCTCTCCCGAGGGTTTATCCCGGTCTCTCCCGAGGGTTTGTCCCGGTCTCTCCCGAGGGTTTATCCCGGTCTCTCCCGGGGGGTGGTGGGGTGGTCTTCCGGGTTCTGGGGGGGTTATCCCGGTTCTGAGGGGGTGTGTCCCGGTTCCAGGGGAATTTAACCCGTTCCGGGGGCGTTTCTCCCGGTCCAGAGGGATTTACCTTCTCCCGGGAATTTCTCCCGGTCCCTCGCGGTCTCTCCCTGTCCCGGTGGGTTTGTCCCGGTCCCTGCCGAGGGTCTATCCCGGTCCGTCCCGAGGGTTTATCCCGGTCCCTGCCGAGGGTTTGTCCCGGTCCATCCCGAGGGTTTATCCCGGTTTATCCCGGTCTCTCCCGAGGGTTTATCCCGGTCCCTGCCGAGGGTTTATCCCGGTTTATCCCGGTCTCTCCCGAGGGTTTATCCCGGTCCCTCCCGAGGGTTTATCCCGGTCTCTCCCGAGGGTTTATCCCGGCCCCTGCCGAGGGTTTATCCCGGTCCTTCCCGAGGGTTTATCCCGGTCCCTGCCGAGGGATTTATCCCGGTCCCTCCCGGTCCCTCCCGAGGGTTTATCCCGAGGGTTTATCTCGGTCCCTCCCGGTGTCCCGTCCCTCCTGAGGGTTTATCTCGAGGGTTTGTCCCGGTCCCTCCCGAGGGTTTATCCCGGTCCCTGCCAGTCCCTCCCGAGGGATTTATCCCGATTCCTCCCGGTGTCCGGTCCCTTCCAAGGGGTTTATCCCGGTCCCTCCCCGTGTCCCAGTCCCTCCCGAGGGTTTATCCCGGTCTCTCCCGAGGGTTTATCCCAGGGTTTATCCCGGTCCATCCCGAGGGTTTGTCCCGGTCCCTTCCGCTCTCTCCCGAGGGTTTATCCCAGGGTTTATCCCGGTCCCTCCCGAGGGTTTATCCCGGTCTCTCCCGAGGGTTTGTCCCGGTCCCTTCCGGTCTCTCCCGAGGGTTTATCCCGAGGGTTTATCCCGCTCCCTCCCGAGGGTTTATCCCGCTCCCTCCCGGTGTCCCGTCTGTCCCGAGGGTTTATCCCGGTCCCTGCCGAGGGTCCATCCCGAGGGTCCATCCCGGTGCCTCCTGAGGTTTATCCCGCTCCCTCCCAGTGTCCGGTATCCGGCGGCCCCCGGGATGCGGCCGCCCGTCCCGCTGTCCGTCCGTGTGTCCGTGCCGCTGTGTGTCCGTCTGTGGGCGCTGCTGTCGCTGCTGCCCGGGCCGGGCCGGGCGCTCTCCACGTGCCGCACGCTGGACCTGGAGGCGGCGCGGCTCAAGCGCATCGAGGCCGTGCGGGGCCAGATCCTGAGCAAGCTCCGCTTGCCGGCGCCGCCGCCCGAGCCCGGCCCGGCCCCCGCGCTGCCCGAGGAGGTGCGGGCGCTCTACAACAGCACCCGCGAGCTGCTGCGGCAGCGGGCGCGGCTGCGGCACCCCGAGGAGCCGCAGGAGTACTACGCCAAGGAGCTGCTGCGCTTCCCCATGGAGAGCGATGGTGAGGGGACATTGGGGACACTGCAGGGACATGGGGACATTGGGGTGACACGGGGACATTGGGGGAATGGGGACACGGAGCTGGCAATGGCACCCCGAGGAGCCGCAGGAGTACTACGCCAAGGAGCTGCTGCGCTTCCCCATGGAGAGCGATGGTGAGGGGACATTGGGGACATCATGGGGACATTGGGGTGACACGGGGACATTGGGGGAATGGGGACACGGAGCTGGCAATGGCACCCCGAGGAGCCGCAGGAGTACTACGCCAAGGAGCTGCTGCGCTTCCCCATGGAGAGCGATGGTGAGGGGACATTGGGGACATCATGGGGACATTGGGGTGACACGGGGACATTGGGGGAATGGGGACACGGAGCTGGCAATGGCACCCCGAGGAGCCGCAGGAGTACTACGCCAAGGAGCTGCTGCGCTTCCCCATGGAGAGCGATGGTGAGGGGACATTGGGGACATCATGGGGACATTGGGGTGACACGGGGACATTGGGGGAATGGGGACACGGAGCTGGCAATGGCACCCCGAGGAGCCGCAGGAGTACTACGCCAAGGAGCTGCTGCGCTTCCCCATGGAGAGCGATGGTGAGGGGACATTGGGGACATCATGGGGACATTGGGGTGACACGGGGACATTGGGGGAATGGGGACACGGAGCTGGCAATGGCACCCCGAGGAGCCGCAGGAGTACTACGCCAAGGAGCTGCTGCGCTTCCCCATGGAGAGCGATGGTGAGGGGACATTGGGGACATCATGGGGACATTGGGGTGACACGGGGACATTGGGGGAATGGGGACACGGAGCTGGCAATGGCACCCCGAGGAGCCGCAGGAGTACTACGCCAAGGAGCTGCTGCGCTTCCCCATGGAGAGCGATGGTGAGGGGACATTGGGGACATCATGGGGACATTGGGGTGACACGGGGACATTGGGGGAATGGGGACACGGAGCTGGCAATGGCACCCCGAGGAGCCGCAGGAGTACTACGCCAAGGAGCTGCTGCGCTTCCCCATGGAGAGCGATGGTGAGGGGACATTGGGGACATCATGGGGACATTGGGGTGACACGGGGACATTGGGGGAATGGGGACACGGAGCTGGCAATGGCACCCCGAGGAGCCGCAGGAGTACTACGCCAAGGAGCTGCTGCGCTTCCCCATGGAGAGCGATGGTGAGGGGACATTGGGGACATCATGGGGACATTGGGGTGACACGGGGACATTGGGGGAATGGGGACACGGAGCTGGCAATGGCACCCCGAGGAGCCGCAGGAGTACTACGCCAAGGAGCTGCTGCGCTTCCCCATGGAGAGCGATGGTGAGGGGACATTGGGGACATCATGGGGACATTGGGGTGACACGGGGACATTGGGGGAATGGGGACACGGAGCTGGCAATGGCACCCCGAGGAGCCGCAGGAGTACTACGCCAAGGAGCTGCTGCGCTTCCCCATGGAGAGCGATGGTGAGGGGACATTGGGGACATCATGGGGACATTGGGGGGGACAGGGGACAGAGGGGGGACAGCTGGACATGGTAAGGACAAGGGACACCGGTTCCCCATGGAGACTTCAAGGACGGTGAGTGGGGACACGGGGGGACATGGGGACATGGTGGGGGGACCCCAGTGGCCTGAGGGTGGCCTCGGTGGCTTTGAGGTGACCGCGGTGTCCCTGAGGTGACCGCGGTGTCCCCGAGGTGACCGCGGTGTCCCCGAGGTGGCTGAGTTGACCTGGTGACCCCTCGGTGACCCCGTGGTGACCTGGTGGCCCTGAGGTGACCCGGTGACCCCTCAGTGACCCCGTGGTGACCCCATGGTGACTCAGTGTCCCTGAGTGACCCAGTGACCCCGGTGTCCCCTCAGTGTCCCCAATGTCCCCAGTGTCCCCAGTGTGTCCCCTCAGTGTCCCCTCAGTGTCCCCAGTGTCCCCTCAGTGTCCCCTCAGTGTCCCCAGTGTCCTCAGTGTCCCCAGTGTCCACAGTGTGTCCCCAATGTCCCCAATCCCCCAGTGTCCTCTGTGTGTCCCCCCAGTGTCTCCACTGTCCCCAATGTCCCCAATGTCCCCAGTGTCCCCAATTCCCCCCACTGTCCCCTGTGTGTCCCCAGTGTCACCAATGTCCCCCCAGTGTCCCCAATCTTCCCAATCCCCTCAGTGTCCCCAGTGTCCCCAATGTCCCCAGTGTCCCCAATCCCCCCAGTGTCCCCAACGTCCCCAAACT